AAAAGTTTAAAAGTTAAAGTAAAAAGTAAAAAAAGGAAAAAGTAAGAATGCCTTGGAGATATATACATGTATATTATACATATATATATATATATATATATATATATGTGTGTATTTTTAAAAAATAATAGAATCATACAGGGCTTCATTCTGATTCTTTTCCCTTTATTCTTTCATGGTATCTGGAAGTTGGCACTTTCTGCAAATGCAGCATCATCTTAGTGGCTCTTTAGGGAACAGCAGCATGGCAAGGCAGTCTCATAAAGGAGTTTCAGGGCTGGACTTTATATGTGCAGAGCACAGGTTCAAATCCCAGTTTTGCCACTTTCCAGGTGCATAAACTTGGGAAATTGACATATGTACCTAAGTTGGTGTGTTGCTGCACTCTTTTGATCTGTAAGACAGGGGAAAAAATGTTTGTAACGTACTTTGAGTAGCCTCTGGCACATGGCAAGCTGTTGGTAAGTATCTGGTAAGTAACCATAAAACTAGTTCCTTGTGGAGCTGAATCCACCTTGCTTCAAACCAACTTAACATCATAACACAAATAGCCCAACATTCAACTACTTGACCTTTTAAGGAAGGTACAAAGAGTCACCCCAGCACATTTTGCATCATTTATTTCGTCCACTTCATGGGGATGTTTGTTTCAAACTGAGTATTATTGAAGCCTTTTTCTTGCTTCTGTTACCGAAATGTCTTCTATAAGCTGTCAGGTAGGTCATACCCAGGCCTGTTACTAGCATTTCCCAAGCTATGTTGCAGGTAACACTAGTTCTGGTGACTATCAAGAGGAATTATATAGATATAGATAGATAGAAGATAGATAGATAGATAGATAGATAGATAGATAGATAGATAGATCGATCGATCTTTATTTATCCCTACTGAAGAGGGAGGAAGTGAATATTCCACTTGAGGTTGGGGAAATTCTTGATTAAACCTATGTTATGACATGTATTTTGTCAGGTCCTTAACAGACTCATTTGCATTGGGAATCCCACAATGACTGTACCTTGAAGCATTTTTGCCTTTCTTAACTTACTCAGATCTTTGGGGACATTTCCCTGCCCAACACAATTTGGGAAATGCTATTCTGTACTTTAAATAACAATCTCCATTGCACAATGCTTTCAAAATGGGGAGCTCATGTTATCTGAAGTCTTGGTGGGCTCAGTCTTAGGCAGAAAACCTTTTTATTTCATTTCCATATTAGTTTTTGGATAATCTTTTCCAATGGTATTGCTCCCCTCCGTAGAATACCAGTGAATTTTCTGTTTGTTGGGTGACACCTGGGTCTTCCTACCTGAGGATTGTGGGGTTATACCCAAGCATCAAGGGATGCAGACAAGGCTGGCATGAAGCTACAAGAACCCTAGGATGTCTCCTGAACATTAGTGCACGTATTAGTTTTATATGCTGTGTAACAAACTATCACAAATTTAGCTGCTTAAAACAACCTCTCACCATTTCTTTGTGTCACAATTCTGGGCATGGCTTAACTGGGTTCTTTACTTTAGTGCAATCCAGGAGTTGGCTGGGGCTGAGGTCTCATCAGAGACTCAACTGGGGAAGAATTCTCCTCCAATTCTCTTATTGATGATGTTGGCAGAATTCATTTCATTGCAGCTATGGAAACCATGGCAGCTTGCTTCTTCAAGCCCAGCCCAGGAGAGAGTCTCTACCCTTTTTGCTAAGATAGACTCTTTTTAAAGACAAGTCTGTCTCATCTAATCAGAGGAGTGACATCCCATCATCTTTGCCATGCTCCACTGGTTAGAAGCAAGTCACAGGTCCTGGACTTGTTCAAGGAGAGGGAATTATACAAGGCATGCATCATCTTGGGGGAATCATCTTAGGATGAGGCCACCAGAGTATGTTTCTAAAATCCTAGGTAAGCCTTTATTTTCTTTGGTGGAGCCCAAATCGGATTAATTGATGGTAGCATCCTGGCTAATGCAGTTATTTCTTTATGTCATTTCTATCAACTGGTATATAATAGTTTTTATTCAAATTGTACCCTCTTTCTAAATCTCTCTAATTTCAATCAGAATTTTAAAGCTACAAGTCAAGGACAGCATCTCTCAGTATTCTTCATGACTATTAGTGCAGATCTCAAAGCTGGCTTTTAGTAAGTGCTTGTTGCATACATGAGTGAAGCTCTTGTCCATGTTAAGCCATTCCTTCCTAGCTGGGCAACCTTTAGCAAATTGTTTAATCCCTCTACTCCTCACTTTGTTTAACTATAAAATGAGGATAATGATAGTTCATGGAGAAGTCTTTTAAAAGGGTAACTCAGACCCTATCACTCCCCTGCTTTAAAACTTCAGTGACTCTCCATGCACTTAGAATTAGATTCAGATTCCTTGACCTAGTTCTCCTTCATGATCTGATCTCAGCCCCCCTCTCCAACTCTATTTCCTGTCACTATCTCCCACTGAATTTGCTGAGTCACATGGGCTTCTTACAGTTGCTTTATTATACTCAATTCCTTCCTGCCTCAGTGCGTTTGCACTTGCTGTTCCTCAGTCTGGAATGTTCTTCCCCCAGATCGTATCACCAGTTTCATTATTTGGGACTCAACTCAAAAGTCAACAACTCTTAAAGGTCCTGCCAGACCACCTCCATTTCCACTACATACTTCCTGACCCTGCTTATTTTCTTTATACAAGTCGTCACTTCTGAGACTCATATATTATTATTTAAAAAAAAATTTTATTGAAGTACAGTCAATTACAATGTGTCAATTTATGGTGTACAGCACAATGTCCAGTCATGCATATACACACATATATTAGTTTTCTTTTTTTTATTAAAGGTTATTGCAAGATATTGAACATAGTTGCTTGTGCTATACAAAAGAAACTTTTTTAAATCTATTTTTATATGAGTGGCTAACATTTGTAAATCTCAAACTCCCAAATTTATCCCTTTCCACCCCCTTTACCCAGTAACCATAACAGTAACCATAAGATTGTTTACTATGTCTGTGAGTCTGTTTGTTTTGTAGATGAGTTCATAGTGTCCTTTTTTTTTTAAGATTCCACATATAAGTGATATTATATGGTATTTTTCTTTCTCTTTCTTGTTTACTTCACTTAGAATGA